TCTATACAACGAAAGGAGACTGCGACCACACAAAAGGCCACACCATCTTGGTCTTCATATCTTCAATATAAATAAGGATCATTTAGGAGGATTCCTCAAAACTAAGCTTTTCCTATAAGTTGTTTGACCTTGTTTTCGCAACTCGGTCGTCTGCTATAGTAGTTGTCATAATTCCCAGCATCTGACAGTCGACTTGATACATTCTCAAACGTTTCGCCGGCATCATTAGTGAGATTTGCCATTCTCCGTACCAAGCTACGGACTCGTCAAAGAGACAAAGCTCTGCATGAAAATGGGTACTGAAAGATCAGAACGAGCGGAACACATCGCACAGAGTGGACACGAGATGAATTGGAAGGCAGCAGAAAGAAGAGCCCCTTACGGTAAAAACACAAGAAAGCGGAAGATTAGGAAGGCCGTTGACATCCTTGGGGAAGATTAATTGGGTTTCGATGATTTTCTTGAGATAACATTGTTGGGGACACTTTAGTTCCGTATGAGAGTGCGCGAAGAAGATATTCGAAGATCGATCTCACCAGGAGATGACGACTAATTCTCGTTGTACTGCAGCCGTTTGGCTTTAATACGATGTTCAGGTTAGTGCAGTCCATGAGACATGCTCCATAGTTTCGAGTGAAGAGATTTCGTCCATCATATGATGGACATCATTAGAGTTGGAACTCATTCTTGTACAAGTCTCAGATTAATACTAGGTCAGGAAAACTATCCGGCTCTAACGCATATATGCCTTTAATTATAGATCCAACATAAGGACTCAAGACTAGGCTTAAGGATGCCCTTAAGGTATGTGTAGGTAATGATGAAATGGAAGTGATAAATGAATTCACTACTTCAGAAAGATGCAAGGGCCCCACGGCTTAGTCTCCCTAAGGTTGACAAGGAGGGTGTCCCTCTTAGATTAAGTGTAAATAGTAAAGGACGAGTGATGCATAAAATCCCACGTTTTTTATGCATAAAACTAAGGAAAACTGCCAATTTGTGGCTATATTCAGTTGAAAATTCTTATTAGCTCGTAAAATTAATTGATCAGCAAATAACTTCAGAAGATAAGCTAATCAGTTTTGATATTGTGTCTATGTACACAAACATTCCTGTTCAAGGGGGCATTCAGGCTATAGTAAAATTCTGGAGGAGCAGCCAGAGATCACAAAAGTAATAAGGTTGAGCGTAGCGTCCATAGATACGTCTATAGTAACTTATCTATGAGAAGCATTTATTTTTCATTTTATGGTAAGTTAGATGAATAAACACAAGGATATGCGATAGGATCTTGCGTAGCTCCAATCTAGGCGAACAATTATATGGCAAGACTTGAGGAACACTTCATGGAAGAGGCAATACTGACCCTCAAATTGTTGGTTAGATATATGGATGATTATCTTGTTAACTATGAGAGTTTGGAAAGTTTAGATAGAAGTTGATTGACCATGTTTTCACATCTTAGTCATATTGGTAGGAAGCTATAAAGGAATGAATCTAGTCTGAAGGCTATTATATTCATGGCCATTTCCAGAGTCGAACCGTGGACGTGGTACATTCCCACACATTTCGCCGGCATCGTCAGTGAGTCTTGCCATTCTTAGAACCATGCTACAACTCGTCAAAGAGACAAGGGAAGCCGGTCCTTTGACCGATTTTCTCCTCAAGTATCGCTACTTCTCCTCTGGGCTAATTACCAATCCTGTATCCACGTGTCACGCCTTCATTACCACAATTTTTTACTTGCTTATTTAAATGTAGTATGGTGTAGCCTTTTGAGCAGCTTGCATTAGAACTCTTCACACTACACACTGGCTTTCTCCCACCACCCTCGTGCTCGGAATGTTGTCCAGACTCTGCTATTTTGTAATGCATCCTCCTTCCCTAGGTCTTATCAGAGTCTCTTTCTTGCCCGGTAGGATCAGTCTGATATCTCCTTGGTTCAAGTATTTACTTTACCCCTGACACCCCATTTGTGCAACTCGAAGCTAAAGCCCCTGAGTAATTCACATGGTCAAGCATTTGCCTCTTGGACCACGTCTGTTTCAACATTGAACCTAACCAAGGCAAGCATTACTACAACGTTTATGGGTTGGCACATAAGAGACTAGGGCATAGCAATTCATAGACTTGGTATTAGGGGCAGATACGGGATAGACGCGGCGGAGACTGGAGCTAGTGGGCTGACAGTAGGCCTTTTTTACAAAAGACGTAGTCCATTAAGCAAAGGCTTGACCATGTTAATTACTCAGGGTCCTTAGCCTCGGATTAGTTGTCCGGACGCAGGTGAGGGGTAATAACACCTCGAGTAATACAGATACGGTGGCAGGAGTCGAGCGAAATACTTGAAGCAGAGAGATAGCAGACGGATCATACGGAACAAGAGGGAGACTGATAAAACCTAGAGAAGGAGGATGTGTAGCAATATAGCAGACTCTGGACAACATTCTTAGCGCAAGGGCAAGGCGGGGTGACGGGGGGAGAAAGCGAGCGTGAAGAGTTCTCATAAAAGCTGCTCAAAAAAGCACACCATGCCAGATATAAATAAGCGAGTATAAAAATGTGATAGTTAATGCGTGATACGACGATATAGGATTGGTGATTAGCCCAGGGGGGAAGCAGAGATACTACGATTGTTGAGAGAATTTGTAAAAGGATCGGCTTCACTTGTCTTTTTGACGGGTTTAGTGTGGTTCTAAGACTGGCAAGACTCACTGACGATGCTGGCGAAACGTCTGGGAATGTACGGCGTCCACGGTGCGACTCTGAAAATGATCATTCATACAATGGCCTCCAGACTAGGTTCGTTCCTCTATAACTTCCTACCAATATGACCAAGTTGCGAAAACAAAGTCAAACAGCTTAAATGGAACGAAAGGAGATTGTGACCACACAAAGGGCATGCCATCTTTGTCATCATACCTTCGATTATAGTTCCTACTTTAACTTAACCAATGTCATAGGTAGTTTAGTTACAAAGTTGAAATGGAAGATGATAGGTCCTTACGTTTTTTAAATATTCTGATAATTATAGAATAAGAAAAGTTAGGGATGGATATTTTTCGTATATAGGTAGAGTTTAGAGACTTACAGTGAATCAGTTATTTGAGGTGTATTCACCCTATTTCGTTTAAGATGTTTCGCCGGCATCGTCAATGAGTCTCCCCATTCTTAGCACCACAGAACAACTCGTCAAAAGGGACAAGTGAATTTGAGCTTTTGACCAAACGTGTGCTAAACAGTCATGGTATCTACACTTCTGCCCTGGGCTATTCACATTTCCTATATCCTCCTATCACGCCTTCACTGTTACAATTATTACCGTGCCTATTTCGATGTAGTATGGTGTGCTCCTTTATTGGCATTCATGAAAATCCTTGACACTCCACACTGTCGTTCTCAGCCTCTTCATCCTTGTGGTGAGAATGTTGATCAGAGTCTGCCATATTGTTACGCAGTCCTCCTTCCCAAGGTCTTATCACAGTCGCTCTTATGCCCCGTAAGATCCGTCTGCTCTCTCTCTCTCTCTGGTTCACGTATTTCACACGACTCCTGCAACCCCATCTGTGCTACTCGAGGCGTTATTCGCCCTCCCCTGCGTCTGGGTGACTAATTCGAGGCTCAATCATCTGACTAAGTCTCATCGTCAAGACTAGGCAGTGTAGCCGAGTGTCTAGCGTGTCAAGCTACCGTTCTGCACTGTCGTGGTTCGGATCCCGCTGAGGGTGTTGATAAGACCAATGCGAGATCGAAACTGCAGTCCACCCAGGATGAGAACAACTT